CTGATACGCATCCCATTCCCATCCCCATTCCAAGTAGCTCCTTTTTAAATGGAAATACGAAGACTTGTTTATTGGAACAGGCCTTGTGGCATAGTGGGTTAACCAGCTTCTTGGTTCTCTCTATCACAGAGCCTGGGGATTAAGTCCCATCTTTGATTTTGATCCACACTCCAGCTAATGTGCCTGGGTGGCAACAGATGTCAGCTCAAGTACTTGAGTTCTTGCCATCCACATGGAGACTTGGACGCAATCCTGGCCCCTGGATTTGGCTGGGATAGAGCTGGCTGTTGCAGCATTTCTCTCTCTCTCTCTCATTCTGATTCTGACTCTCACTTTCCTCTTCCCCCAGCTTTCGAATACATAAAAATCAAACTTGTTTGTTTTTTCAGGTACCATGTAGTTTATACTTCACTATATTAGGTCTCTGTCCTCCTCCTGGAAGTATTTTTCTACATTGCAATTAAGAGTTGCAGTGCACTTGATAAATATCTTTTCTGCTCAGAAGATAATATAAGTGGTTAATTGCTATAAAAACAGTGGAATGCACAGAAGTACACAGTTCTTGAGTCTAAACTCTTTACAGAGTTAGATTGATTGTTTCTGACACTGGCCTCTCTACTAAATGACTAGGGAGCTGACAGCTACTAGTAATCTAGGGCAGATTTTACTAAACATGAGAAATACAGTCTTCCCTCTCTGAGTTCTGAATCTTCAGATTCAACCAACCTGAGATAAAAAAATATAGCAAAGTCCTATGATGGTTTTTCTTGTCCCTATCCTGTAAGTATAACAACTATTTCCATACTATTTGTATTGAATCAGGTATATTGAGTAATCTAGAGACGATTTGATGTACACAGGGTATTGAAAGCATTATGCCATTATGTATAAAGGACTTGAGCATCCTCAGATTTTTGGATCCACAGAGGATCCTGGAATCATTCTTCTATGGACTTGTAGAAATGACTGTTACTTTCGATATTATAAGGGCATCTCATTTTATTTAAATAGCATTTTCTCAATAAATAAAAAAGTTGATTACCCATTTTATTGCTGTTTGGCTTTTGTTTTATTAGTTACTGGATTTTATACTTCTTACTAGTTAAAATAAAAATAAGTATAAACTGAGGCAGTTTATTTGACATTTACATTCTCTCAAAACTTCTGTTCCATGGGGAAAGTAATAATAGCATCTGTGATGCCACATATATATTGAAAAAGTCTTAAGGCCAAAAACACCATGGAAACATTACCCATGGTTCAGTAAAAAGAATCAAAATGATGAATTTGTGTTCACCTAGGTTAACTCTTTATTCAAATATCATTTGCAATATTGGAGGAGGTTAATTTTGTACAGTAGTATGTAAATTACAGAAAAAAAAAACATGGGAATTATGAAAGATCTGAAAGGAGTGCAGAATTACCTAACCACAACAGAGATTATTTCCACATAAGTGAACTCAGACAGTGTGTATCAAATAGATTGTGGCAAACATAAATTAAAAAATAAGTTTACTTTGGTGCAAAAAAATTAAACACAGGTAGATTTTCATAAAAACAACTCACTCATATATAGAAAAATGGGAAAATGTAAGCATTTCCATACTAATTATTGAGAAACATGATTGACATCCTTTATGTTTTAAGGGGTTTATAAGCTCAGAGCATCCTGCTGACTATCCTTGGTTTAGCAGATTCCATTTGTACTTAGCAATGTCTGGTCTCTGCATACAATGTCTGTGTGCTCTGTTTCATTGTGAGATGTTAGAAACCAAAGAATTAATTGCTTCTAAATATCTGGAATGGTTCACCTATAACAAATGAACTTCTTCCAAGACACAGCAAAGTCCTACAAAGATCTGTCCTATGTGTTATAATTTATATAAAATCTGTAACCAGATATTTCATGAACTAATAAAATATGCATTGGATATTTCTTTGTCATCATCAAAGTAATTTGGATATGGGGACACTATGTAATTCTTGGGCTTGAGAGCTCCCTTTTGTTCCATGGAGACAGCATCTGGTCAGCTATGTAAGTAACAGGAATGTATTTAAACAGTTGTGGAAAAACTGAATTGAAAATGTAAGCATACTTTGGCACAAAAATAATGAAACATATGCATAGTTTATTCATAATATATATTTTCTACAAATTTTGAAAGAAATTATATAAAAATAATTTGGTGCCAAAACAAACATATTTTTATCCTGTTTTTCTACAATCCTTTGAATTTCTCTTTTATGCACACTAAGCTACAACTATTTTTTGAGTAGATAAATATAACAGAAGAATGAATGTATGTCAGTAAATTTACTTCCTATATATTAAGTTGTTTTTTTCACAGTTTGAATTATTAAAGCAGGGCATATAAAAGAGGTATTTAAGTGCTATGTCAAGTAAATAACTTTTCTTTGTTCAATCTTAATCACAGCTATGCCATTTTCACTTATATATTATGTAGCTAAAAGGAAGCACTTTTTGCAAGTTCAACTCTTCCTTCCTGTCACTTGAAATATCTAAATGTTAAAAATTATTCCTATACTCTTTGTAGAATTAATATATTCAGCAAATATTTATTGAGTAAACCTCCCCACCCCTGCTTTTTTTTTTGACTAGGTCGTTTTCTGACCATCGGTGAAATGTTAGGGTTTGAGAGTGCCCAGCAGGGACACACAGGATAGTGTGGAAGAGCAAGGAAGGTTTCTGGAAAGGCAAGCATTTAAATTGAGACCTGAAGAGTAAGCAGGAGTTTGCCACATGTGGCATGGCATGTAAGGCATGTTTTTAGAGAAAGGATATGGAGTGGTGGGGGGAGTGTTTCTGGAGCAGGAACAAACAGCCTCTCCCAAGAGTCCAGTGGTAAGAGAGTAAAGGGCACAATATCTAGTTATAGAGTTTGAGGAGGAAAGTGACAAAACCAAGATGGGAGAAGTAGGGAGAACCCCAAAGGAAGGCCCTTATAAGGACTTTCTAGGATACAAGGTGTGCATAGGACACTTGAAACGGAGCAAGATAATTTCAGATTTACACTTATGGAAATTCCTTTGTCGATAAAATGGACAATCGATTTGAGAGTCTATTGTTAAAAGATTAGGTATAGATGAACATGGGTGGACATTATCTGATGAACAATAAGGAGCTGAGGACTCCTGTACCTGCATTTAGCCTTTGGGCTTACCTTGTTTTGCTATGACTAATTTTATTGGATTCTCTTGGAAATTCTGGAATAACTACTACTTACACCACTACCCTGATGTAGTGATTCCTCACACTGTTTTGAAGCTTTGATAACTGAATGCAAAGTTTTGCATTTTGGCTATCCTTCTATTATTTGAATCATATTTGTAAGATAATATTTAAGGTGTTCTTCTAGTCCATTCACATTTTATTTTAAATATTTACATTTATTCACTGATGTTTTATTTTTTTAAAAAAAGATTTTATTTATTTATTTGACAGGCAGAGATATAGACAGTGAGAAAGAGAGAGAGAGACAGAGAGAAAAGTCTTCCTTCCGTTGGTTCACTCCCCAAGTTGCCACAATGGCTGGAGCTGCACCAATCCGAAGCCAGGAGCCAGGTGCTTCCTCCCAGTCTCCCACGTGGGTGCAGGGACCCAAGCACTTAGACCATCCTCCACTGCCCTCCCTGGCCACAGCAGAGAGCTGGACTGAAAGAGGAGCAACTGGGACTAGAACTGGTGCCCATATGGGATGCAGGTGCTGCAAGTAAAGGATTAACCTAGTGCGCCACAGTGCCGGCCCACACTGATGCTTTCTTGCTAGGAATTGATTAATCTTTTTTGTTCAAATACTTTACTTCTCTTCCCAGTTTATTTCCTATACAGAAAGGCTTTTCTTTACCATGAGTGAATATTTTTCTGTGGTTACTGAGTTGCCCTCTCTGTCATGTCACATCGTGTCAACAAGTACATTGTGCTGCAATAGATTTAACAACTCCTTGCTCAATTCTTTTTTTTTTTTTTTTTGACAGGCAGAGTGGACAGTGAGAGAGAGAGACAGAGAGAGAAAGGTCTTCCTTTGCCGTTGGTTCACCCTCCAATGGCCGCCGCTGCAGCCGGCGCACCGCGCTGATCCTGGCAGGAGCCAGGAGCCAGGTGCTTTTCCTGGTCTCCCATGGGGTGCAGGGCCCAAGCACCTGGGCCATCCTCCACTGCACTCCCTGGCCATAGCAGAGAGCTGGCCTGGAAGAGGGGCAACCGGGACAGAATCCGGCGCCCCAACCGGGACTAGAACCCGGTGTGCCGGCGCCGCAAGGTGGAGGATTAGCCTATTGAGCCACGGCGCCGGCCAAATTCTTGGCTATTTTTTTATTTTGCATTCAAGTTGGAGATGGTGCCAGTGACTACTACTTCAATTGAATAATTAGCTCATGGATGCAATGGAAAAGTTGGTAAACCCAAACCAGATATGGCCACACATTTTAGGAGACAAGAATGAGTTCATATCCCATGTCCCACACTTAATCTCTTTCACAGCATTGAATAGCTGTTAAACTAGATGCTTCTTTTTTATTTCTTGCATAGTTCAGAATAGTTGATAGCAATTCTGCATAGCATAGGATTTTTTTTTTTTTCTATTTGCACTAATCATTGCTGTTTCACATTAGCTCCCAGGGTAACTTCCGTTTCCCCAGTCAGTAACTTTCTCCACCACCAAAATGTCTCCTTTTTCTTAGTTAATCAATGATAAACCATTACATATTAAAACCAAGACTGATTTTCGTGAGTGTAGCCAATAGAGTAGGTTGCCTTTGCCAGACCATGTATTATAAGTCACCAAATGATAACACCAGTATTCTGACCAGGAAACTCTTCAGTAACCATGAGTATTCACACTAAGTCATTAAGGGACTTAGAATGCAGGCATTGGTGTCACTATAATAAGTTACTTTGGAACTATGAAAAATATGAAATTGCAGTTTTCATTGAAGCTACTTAAAATCACGACTTAGACAGATGAAATTGTCCTACTCACTGAGCTTTTTCATGCAGTCACGAAGTCTGGTTTCCAGGCTCAGCACTCTTTGATGGAGCTCCTCATAGTCATAGGCACCAATTTCTTCCTGAATTCCAGTGAGCACTGCAGATAGATTCCGAATTTCTTCCTTGAACTGGGTGATTAACTTGGCATCTGTTTTGTACTGTTCCAGCACAGGGATCAAAGGCAGGAGCTCATCCATCTTCTCTTTTAACTCCTGGAAAAGCAGACAATTGCTCTTGAGAGTTTTCTAAAACAGACCAACCCGCTACATTCTTTTTATTATGATACTTAAAAGAAACTATTCAAAAAGCTTCAAAATTTCATATTGATTTTTGATTGAGATCTAGTATTTTGTGAAAATGTAAGTGGCCATATCATCATTAGTAGTCAATCCACGGATCTTAGTGCTTCTCTAAAACTCTCTGGAATTGGCTGCATGCATTACTATTAAGCAAATGTATCCTTATCTCATTTAGAGAAACTTCCTCCAGTAGCAAATATGGGTTTGCTTATCATCTCACATCCTGACAGCATTTTAGGAAAGTGAACAATGCATCATGTACTTAGGAAATAGAAACAGGCTTCATCTTCTAATTATGAATTAAGTTTGAACAGGTCAAATACCCCATTACTGTATAGTTAAGTCTGCCTATCTGCTTGCTAAAAATCCATGTTACTGATGGGCACGCAGAAATTTCTGATTCTGGATCAGCTCTCTCCTAACTCTTAGAATTTTTCTATTCTGATAGTCTACCACTTTGCTCATCCATTGTGCTTAGATACCTGGATGTTTTTAATATCTATCTTAGCACAACTTCATTAGGAAGGTAAGCTTGCAAGTACAATAAATCATGTAAAGCTTCCCAAAGCTCAAAGAAATGTATGTTGCTGTTTACCATTTTGAGTTATTACCTATATGCAGACTCCATTTGTCTTAGCATAGATAATTTAGAGGTCATTATGGAAAGCAGAATTGCTTACCCAGGTAGGCAATTAACTCTTAAAGGGACCATGGTGCATAGTGTATGGAATAGATGAACTAGCTGCCCAGAGTTGTATGAAAAAGAAACACTGACTTTCCCAGGTGAGCAAGGCATGTATGTTGCCAAGTAGCGTCTTTTATTCCTACTTATCAGGGGCTAGGCCAAACCTTCAATGCCACCTTCAGTTTTCAGGTGTGTTACTTTTACTTCTTTCCTATAAACTTGATGTTAGTGGTCAATGAAAATTTTCAGGAGTTTAATTGTAAATTTATTACATATGATACCATTTGTCGAAAGAGCTGTCACTCTTATGACCACTTGAGAATAATCCATAGGTACTGTCAGAAACCATGCTGTATATTAACTTAAGGGGCTCAAAATTGCATTTTAAGATCACATTTAGAAGTTGCTCTTACTAAAAATGCATTACAACAGCAGGATCTCAGGTTGCTGCCCTAATTTATGGGCTTGTTTCTCGTGGTGAAATTTCCACTTGCTTTTTAAATTTGGGTATCATTGAACTTGTTGAGTGGAGTGAAAGGAGTCTTAATAATGAGAAAGATTCATAAATATCACATTCAAAAGGAAGACTAGCAGAGCTTTGCTCATTTTCATTGCTCATTTTGAAAAAACTTATTAGTATGAGCATGTTGTGGCATCCCTAAATGGAGACACAATTGTTTCATTAGGATTTTAATGAGAAGAGTTCTGTTGGTACCATTTGCTGCATATTACAATAACAGTTACAGTGAAAGCTTTTACATTCTACTATGGGCATATATAAAAGAGACAATACAATGTCAAAATTTTAGTGGCTCTCTTTGATCAAAATAGCTTTTTATACTTTTTCATTTCAAACTTCATTATTAGATTTTTAACAATGAATTTTGAAACTCTGGAAGCTTGTCAGAGAATAGTGAAATGTCCAATGAACACACAAATCAAATACTTAAAAGGTTAAAGTGGAATAGCTTAGTTTTGTGTTTACCAATGCCTTCTCAAATTTTACCTTCTGCCATGTTGCTCTTATAGCAAACGTTGTAGTGACAATATTTTCTTTAAAGTAATCTTTGCACATAAAAGTGACACCTACCATAAGCTTTCCGTCTGAAAATGTGCAAAAGATATAATGTACTTACTCTTTTTGGTAAGATGAAAATTAAATATCAGAAGAGGAATTTCTAGTTCTTTAACGTTAAACTTACTTTTGTTATGTTTTATTTCTTGGTTTCAAATATGGTGCCTCAACACTTCTAGCAAAATATGACTCCTGGTAAGAGACCATGACTAAATAACTGTCATTATTTGTGAGAGGCCATCCAGCATGGCTACTGAGAGGCATAAGTCTGCAGCTGGACTTTTGGCTTGCAATATTGATTTTGATTTGTATTAGATTATGATCCTGAGCAAATGATTCAATCTCTTCACCCATAGCTTTCCTTTTCTGTAACATAGGGATGCAAGTAGGATTGTTGTGAAGGTTAAATTAGTTAATATCAGGTTATATGGAATTCAAAGGTGTTTTGGTACAAAAAATTTTTGAAATCTATGTGTAGATTTCATACTATTCATTTTCCACTAACTTCTGGAAGAACCCGTGTATATTTAAGGCGCTTACAACACTGCCTTAAATATCTGTACTTGTTCAGAAAATTAATTATTGTAACTATTGTTAGTGCTAACCGTGTTTGGTCACATAACCAGCATATTCTTGGAGTACATGAACTAGAAAGATCCAAATCGTTATGTCACACAGTGTTAGCTGAAACTCGGGATTTGTTATTGGTAGGCTGGTTACTGCTAGGCAATTAACAGACTAGGCAAATTATTGTTTTGATTTCTCTCAGCTTTACATCTGTTTCATTTCTTTTTCTCCTGTCTTCTCCCAGGGGTTCCCAAAGATGCCCAAGCTTTCTGGTATATCTCCAGCCTTTCCTAGCAAGTCCCTCATTTTGCCCGTTGGTCACCACATAGGCCATCTGCACCAATCTGAGCTCCTCTCCTGCTGTGCCTGTAACTTTCTGGGCATGCATGGCATCATCTTCAGGTTCACATTCAGGGGTGGGAAACTTTTTTCTGCCAAGGGCCAACTGGATATCATTCATGGGCCATACAAAATTATCAACTTAAACATTAGTCTGCTATGGACTTATTGAAGTTAGGGTCCAGCCTGTGGTTGCCTTGGCAGGTCAAAATATTTTATGGGCCTTCCACGGTTCCTTAGCCAAGATTTTTCCCCTGCCCTATAACCCTAAACCTGAGCCTTGAAATTTAACAACAAAAAATCTTTTCGTTTCTTGATCCTCCCTGTAATTTAGTACTGGACAGCAGTTGCTACTCCTACACTGCTTTCTTAAATACACATATTGCCAATCTCCTGATTAGTCTTCTCCAGATCCCCTTTAGATAAACTTAGTAACTCTGATCCTTAGGTTTTTAAGTTACATTCATGCCTTCATTAACCATCAGTTTATTTACTTCTTAGTTGTCTTTCACAGAATAGAGATTATATACTATATATCCAGAAGAGGGCCCAGCACTATCTTGTGTATTATATGTGCTCAATAAATACTACTTAATATTAATTCTTGTTCTCCTTAGCCTTATATTCTTCTCTGTTTACCATTTCCCTGTGCATTCTCTATTGTCCGGTTCACTCATTCTCTTTTTTTCTAAAATCTAAATTTATTGTGTCTGCAAGGTATTGTTCTAATTTGCCTTCACTTCTTAACCTCTCAGTTTTGCTTATCTCTCTCTTAAATCTAAGCCCATTATTTATCTCTTCATTCCTCTCTTTTTTCAATGTTTTCAAAAGTTTTCCTGTTTTCCTCCTGTAGTAACCTCTAAGAGCTGTTAAGTTCAAGACTACGGTTTCTATGTTACTCTACTCAAGCCCTTTAGCACTAATGAAGGGAACTACAAAGCCATGGATATTTTCGCCACATTAAAAGGTGCTATGCAGAGATCCTATTGCATGCCATCCCCACCCTGTGGGACTACCTTCCCATGGGTCACTGTTGTGTACACAAAGCACTCTTTATTTGACCAAGTGCTTGAATTCAGTTAGACTCCCTCAACATTGTTAGTGAATTTCACTGCTTACTTGACAAGGAAAACACAGGCTAGGGAGTGAGCAATCACTCTGTTTTATAAATGGTGTGCTACACTTTTGTAGTGCAGATTATTTATTTTTAATTGAGACTCAAATGATATTATCAGATCCAGATTTTTTTAAATTCATGACTCTGCATACATAGTTAATAAAAATCCACATTGTGTGCTTAAAACCAGCAATTCTCAATTTTTGGTGTTTCTAGATAATTACTAATAAACCATTAAAATTAAAAAAAATATACAAAATTATGGAAACCTTCTTTCATTTACTTTATTAATGATATTATTGTGTCTTTTAATAATTTATATCCACTACATTTCAACTAATAGGGAATAAAACAATAAGAAAGGCTTTGGTAATTAAATTATTAATTTTCCTTGGGATTTCCCCTTGCCTGATACAATAAAGCATCTATAAATCTATCTGGAATTTCCACCCAGCTCTTGGAGGATAGGTTTTTTTTTTTTTTTAAATAGCAATTCTTTTATGCATTCCTACCAGCTAATGGTCAGTTTCAGTGGAGAGATGATTGACATCCCCAGTGAGTCTTTAACCTTGGACATATGGGCCAGTGCTCAGTTATTTCCAGCTGAGTGCCATGCTGGCTATCCATTGCACTCAGTGTCTTATTTGGATTGACAAGATTGCAGAAGCGAAACTTACTTGAAAATGCTTGGTCATTAGTGTCTTCCGATCATCCTCAATCTGTCGAAACTTGGCCTTTAGCCCTTTCATTTGGGTTTCCATTTTTAAAACATATTGGAAATCTCTCTGAGTTCTCAGGTTTAAGACTTCAATAGATTGAGACATGTTCTGAACCTGTTAAACAGTAACATTGTTGTACATTATGATCCGCCTATTGGTTATATGCAATAAGTAGCAAAAATGGCATTAACAAAAAGAACTGGAGATGCCAAATCCATAATTGCCTTCCCATGTGTACATTTTCAGAAGAAAACTTTTCATGATAAACATGCAAATAATTCAGCAAGAGAAAATTATACCTATGCTAGCATTAAGAAAGATAGGCATTCTAGCATTAGAATAATAAATTTATATTTAATACGCATAAATAAATGTGTATTTAATACATTAGAAAAATAAATATTAAAAATAGAATTTTCATCCCCAGGCTTTGGAAGCTAATAATACCCAAACATGTCCAAATAAGTTGTTTCCATAATCACTAATTTTGACTTATTAAAGATTACAGATGCTTAGCCATTGTGAATTGTTGTGAAAGTATCAAACAGAATTGTTTCATTCTAGTACAATTACTTCTTTTTGGTTCTAAATTACTCCCAAAGATGAGACTGAATTGAACAGACAAGTAGTGGTGATGCTGGGACACCCCTAAATTGTATAATAGCCTGTAGATGGGATGTAGAAAAGGCAAGTATCAAGAACACGGTAGACAGGTAGTAGACATGTATTAAGCTGTTAGAACCATCCCAGATTCATTGAGTCCCAGGCTAGTGACAAGTAGGAAGTAGATGACCTAGAAAGTGTGCAAATTGCTGGGTAAGAAATGCCACTTTAGGAAGTCATCTTCAGCCTCGTGATTAAGACATTTGTGTCCCATGTTGGAGTACTGGGGTGTGAAGGCTATGTCTGACTCCAGTTTCTTGCTAACGTAGACCGTGGGAGACAGTGGAAATAGCTCAAGATTTCTGGCTTCTGCCACTCACATGGATAACCTGGATTGAGTTTCCAGCTCCTGTTTTTGTCCTGGCCTACTTTCAGCATCGCCAGCATTTGGGGAGTGAGCCAGCAGTTGGGAGCTCTCTATATATCTGTCTCTCCCTCTGTCTCTCAAATAAATACAGTTTATAAAAATGATGCCTTAATATTTGTGGTAGTAAAACACTGAAAACAGAGGATAAGCCTGAAACCATGCAGGAGTTGCTAATTTAATTAAGGAATGGGATATGAATAAAGCCTTACAAACAAAAGGAGAGTACTCCATACTCTTTTGCTCAACGTATTGTCTTCTACATAACAACCTTGGCTCTACTGGAAGTCTGTCAGAAATGCGCACTCTCAGGACCCAACCTAGAGCTACTGAATCAGAATCTGCATTTTATCAAGATCCTCAAGTGTTTCTTCCTTTTTTTAAAGATTTTATTTATTTACTTGAGAGGTAGAGTTACAGACAGAGAGAAGGAGAGAAAGAAAGAAAGGTCTTCCACCCACTGGTTCACTCCCCAAATGGCTACAATGGCCGCAGCTGTGCCAATCCGAAGCCAGGAGCCAGGAGCTTCTTGTGGATCTCCCACAAGAGTGCAGGGGCCCAAGCACTTGCACCATCTTCTACTGCTTTCCCAGGCCATAACAGAGAACTCCATCAGAAAAGGAGCAGCCAGTACATGAACTGTTGCTCATATGGGATGCTAGCACCACACGCAGAGGCTTAGTCTAGTATGCCATAGTGCCAATCCCCTCAAGTGATTCTAATGTGTAGCAAAGTTTGAAGACCATTGCTCAACATGGTAGGATTAGCAAGAAAGAAGTCAGCATACTGATCTTTACATATAATTCGCATAAAATGGTAGTGGGGTTTCAGGTGAATTTCTGTTCCATATCTTTTTATACGGTATGCTATTTATTTTTAATTAATGTATATATTTATATAGTCAGTACAAAGTAATTTTCATTGAAAAATTTGTGAATTAAGAGGGATGATTTGTTTAGAGAAAAGTTTTGGTCATGAGGGGAAGTCACAGCTTAGTGGAGCAGCCAGCTGTCAGGAGCCCATGGCTGAGGCATTTGTCAGAATCACCATATTCCTGAAAAGGTAGAGGGCTCTGCTGACTTGACTTGTTTCAATTTCCACTCTTCTTATCAAACAAGGTCAATTTTCCTTTGGATTTTTCCCTGATGATCTTGATCCATTGCCTTGCCCTATATGAATCTTGTCTTTTGAAGACATATCACAGTCTGGCCTACATTAAAAGTACGTAGTGTGTGTTTGCAGTGAGGACAGGAAATGGCTCTCTCTCTCTCTCTCTGAATTCCCAGGCCCTAGAAGCTGTTTCCTCTGCATTTCTTTTGTTTCTAATACCTTACACAGAACCAGGCACAGTCTAAGTTCTCCACAAATATTTATTGACTAAAATTATCTTGCATTTCTTACAGTAATAATGGATGATAAGAGTTTATATGTTCTAAGAAGGACTTCCTCCCTCTTGTCACTGATTAGGCTACAGCATCACAGGGCTATCAGATATTTCTCAATTTACTATCTTTCTATATTCTAAAATCTCCATTTAAAAACTCTTCAATGCTGTACAGAATTACTGGGCCAACATTGAAAGCATGGTGACCCAATCAAGAATAATTACAATGCTTTCAAAATAATTTTCTAAATTCATTTATGGTGAAGCATGAATAAAGAAAAGCCATTAGTATTAAAGAAATTGTTTATCCTTTTTGAATATGACATTTTTCTGGAAGTCAATCATCACTTATTTGGCTCCTAAGAATTTTGTGTACCGAGGCAGATTCTATATAGATAGAAAAAAATGGGCAAGCGACGATATTTTAGATAAAGCTAAAATAGCCTCACTTTCATCGTTACCTATGACTCAATCTATTCAGTAAATTCTCAGTTTGTGTTGTGTTGTGGGAAAATGTACTGCAAGGAATTTTGCTGAGACTTGTTTGTGCCTTTCATATTGTGGAGTAACATTCTGGGAAAAAGTCTAGAGCTAGGGCTTCCCAGTGGCAAAGGCTTTGGCTCTGGGTTGATGCTGGATTGTCCTGCTGGCTGTGCCTGTGACCTGCTGAGCCTCAACAGTCGTACGATGCAGTTGTCGCATGTCATACATCCATGAGGACCCTGTGAGAAGGAGGTCTCATTTAATCTGCTCTCTCTGATGGTCCTCCATTCACCTTTCCCTGTGTGTCCCTATGCTTTGACCCTCTCTACATCCTTCAGGCAAATTCATTGTCCCCTTTCAATGTTAATTATTTTGAATGCATTTGTCCTGTCTTTTTTTTATATATAAATAAAATTTCCAAGGTCTTCCTTCCTGAACTTAAACACAGATTAACTGAAATTTCTACTCTTGTCAGTAATTATTATAGAGGCTAGCTGAGAAAATAAAAGTTCCATGGTGCAGTATGTTTGGAAGCCTTGCAATTAACAAAAACTTAACAGAGATTGCTTGACTGTGAGACTTTAGAGCCACATTAGTTATGAGTTATACTCTGGCAGCTTTTAGGAGTGAAGTTTCATGTACAGTGTTTTTAGACTTGTTTTTCTTGGTAAGGATGTTAACAGCATCCTGGTCCACAAATCACACTTTAGGAAACATTGACCTAGAAAAAACAGGACATCTTCAACTACAGAAGAAAGCCACATGACTAATAAAAAAATTAGGTGAAGCATTTTAGTTTTGTCAAAGTAGGACTTGAAATATTTTAAAATCATTTTTTAATATTCAGTAACATAAATACTTGCCAAAAATGTCTGATGCAACATCACTTAAATAAGAGTGAGTTCCACCAGAAACATTCTGGATGAAAACATGAGACTCATCTTCGATAGCTTCAGTACTCTACTGGAGCCACATGGGAATGTTTACAAGCTCAAAAACACCAGTTTCCTTTTACGTGAATTTAAAAAGAGAATCACCTCTTCTATAAGTGTTGCACTGAGTGATCAAATTTAAACATAAAAACATAATAATAATCATGGAAACTATAATTAATATTGTTGTTAGTAATAATATTCCCTTGTAGGTGACTAAATCAATTCTTTTGATTAACAATGAAGGGGCTGCTTAAAGGTTAAGCGCTGTTTATCCCTTCATACCATGGGTATATGTGAAACTAAGAGGAAGTCTGTGAGAAACTGGCTCTTAGTTTACTATTCCTCTGTTGGCACGAAACTTCCGCATTGTAAATCTGATAAAGCTAACCACCATGGTTTCACTTTTGTGTACAAACTTTATTTTTTAATCTAGATATTGACGAATTTTAAAGGTATAATTTGCAAAATTTCCTTAAAGCATTTAAATTACATATGAGATGGAGTGGTCACATATATTTCCATAAATGCTTCCTATTAATGCCCTGTTCATAGTTTCTTGCCTTATTTATCTTTAACTAATACCTAATTCTGTTATAGTTCCACAATACATTTTACTTTGAACAAGTAGAGGGAATTAATTACTTCCCGTCATTAATGTTTTCAACTGAATTATTCTCGACTGATTCGTAAAGAAACGTTTGAGTCTATGTACTGGCATGTGTATGCAGCGCTCTACCCAAAAATTGTAGCACATGCAGTTATGGTGTTTAAGAAAAGTTTTCATGATACCTGATATAGAAGAAAGATATTTCTGCATAGAAAAGAATAGTGGTGCAAAATGTCAGTACTCTGAGGGGAGAAGTAAGTTAATAGAAGAGTAAAATTGAATTTAAAAAGAAGACATATTTTTACTAACACAATTAATCTTATTGGTACCCAAACAAAATGAATCTACGTACTTGAATTTTTTCACAGAAATAAAGAAAATTAAAACAATACCCCAAATTAATCATAATCCATGTTTATGATTTCTAAGAGTTAACAAGACACATCAGTCAGAATATTTGGAATGAAGAAGACATATGCTCTTTCGTGGGGTTAGGTATGAGGAAGTAGGAAGAATGTATATTGTAAAAGGAGGCAATAAGTGATGATGACAACTACAAGGAGGGGAGGAAGAACAGACCAATCTTTGTATGAAAACATGAAAAAAACGTTTTTTTAAGATCTTAAGATACCAACAGACTTCTAAATAATGTACAGAGAGAAAGTTATTTTTATTATATAACATTAGAAAAAGTTATCATGGCTTAACCTGAAATTGTGAAATCTAAGAATGTCTACATCAACAAACTAGCTGTTGTTTTTTCCTTCTCTTAATTTTATGTTAAAAAATTCCTATTCAAAGCCATAAATGTGTGGATGATCATGAAAATGATATTGCACACAGTGAATTGGTGAGCATGATGTTCTCTTCAACACATATTACCTAATTTATCTTATTATCCCTGACGGTGTTTAAAATTCAAACATTTTGTCATCTTTGCATCATTCTGGCCATCCCAGCTGTCCTACTATATTCAGAGCCCAGCACAGAGAAAGTCTGAATGGGGATAATTGAAAGAACCATTCACTGGTCTCCCCTCTCCCCACCTAAACATAAAAAATCTTTTATGAGCTAACTTTTGTCTGTAAAAGAGAATAAATCAAAGGCATTCTGCATTTGATTGTCATGGATCCGGTTTAAGTAAATTATGGAAGAATGGTATTGAATAAAATTGAAGATCTTAATGTTCAAAGGGGTGACTTAGCAAATGATGATAAATACTTGGAATTATTCATTGTCTGTCAAGCTGGCTTACATATTGCATGCCATTACTTTAACTTTCTTGCAGAGTTGTTAACGGGATCCAAAAAGTCTGAGCTCAGTCAAGTGGGATCCTGAGGTTTATAGCTGACTTTCTGGCACTGGGATACTTCTTGCTTTTTTTTTTTTTCTTACTGGGAGATTGGATATTAAGACACTGATTTGTGACAAAGTCAGTCTTAAGAAACCAAGATTGGGAAGAATAGAAAGTCATGGAAATAGAACACATTGAAAGGAGGTTAGGTAAATGGTTTTGAAGAAAAAGTTTTTGAAGAAAAAGGAAAAGGCTTGTTTGAGAAGGGAGGCAAAAATCAGATGGACTCTTCTAAACACTACTTGTTCTTCCACATTTATTTCCTTTTAAAAGAATGATATATTCAACAAAAATACATGTAGGGGATGCAGAATACCTACCTTTTCCAGCAGTTGGCGAAGTTGCCTGCTCTTGGCATCCCTGGAACACAGGTTTTGTTCTGGAGCAACCACTGTGCAAATGCATCGCCCATCAGGATCCTGTGCAGAGCTGTACACTTGCCACCCTTCTTTGGGACTAATCTGAGTCTGAGAAAACCAACAGCAAACACAAAACACAGAAACACATTATAGAATAAAGCGAATGTGGGCTTGTACCATTTAAACTAAGCATCTTCACGATGTATTTTCATTTTGTAAAGATTTATTTGTTTTTGAAAGGCAGGGTTACAGAGAAGCAGAGGCAGAGACAGAGAGAGAGATCTTCCATCTGCTGGTTCACTCCCCCGATGGCTGCAACGGCCAGAGCTTGACCGATCCAAAGCCAGGAGCCAGGAGCTTCTTCTGAGATGCCCATGCTGGTGCAGGGGCCCAAGGACTTGTGCTATCTTCTACTGCTTTCCCAGGCCACAGCAGAGAGCTGGATCAGAAGTGGAGCTGCTGAAACTCAAACCAGCACCTGTAGGGGATGCCCATGCAGATGCCCCTATGGCCCCCATATGGGATGTTGGCACTACAGGAGGCAGCCCTACCTGCTAAACCACATATTTTCATTTTTTAAAAATTAGGAGAATAATAATATTAAACAATATAGGCAGCAAACTTCAGTTATAACTTCTTTATCCCTGCCCAGAAGGAAATTCTGTCGCTCCTTTAGTATCCATATTATTAATTCTTTGTTCATCTCACATCACTTTTAAATGTTTTCTGTCATATTTTAACATTTTAATGCAACATTAGAAGCATCTAGTAACCACTAAATGAATGTGACCATTTTTCTACATCACATTTGTTAGCCTGCCCTGCTTAACAGTAAATGGCAGTTGCTGGTATATTTTATATTTTTCTGACTATTATTCATGACTCATATTTTGAAACAAGGCTCTTTCTTAAGGAGCTTCTGATGCATCAAAACCCCAATTATTAATAAACCAGGAAAGAGACTGTATGATGATATAGGGTAAAAGTAATTAGGTAAACACTGTTTTGTAGGACATACATGCAGAATCTCAGAGGAGTTAAAGAGAGCTTTTTTGCAAGAGTCTGCTAAATTGATCTCCAATATCTACTGTGCACATATTACTTACTCTTCCACCCTTGAATCCTAGCTGAAACTGCTGACATTTAAACCCTAATACAGTCTGCCTGCTATTAATGCTCATAGTTTACCCCCTGTATTGCCCAGCAGGAACCTCCAATCCAGCCAAATTGGTCTTTGTATATCACGCAATCACACTGTGTTTTTATCTCATTAATAACATAATAGCATAAAATTACTATTAATTTAGTTGACAAATATTTGAAACAACACCGCATTTGCAGCGAAACTGGTATCCATGGGCTCTTCCTTTCTTTCTTGCTTTCTTCATTTTAAATTTTAGCTCCCACATGTAAGGGAGAACATATGGTATTTGTCTTTCTGTGTCTGGCTTATTTAATTCAACATTATGTCTTCAAGTCTCAACAATTTTGCTGCAAATGATTGAATTTGATTCTTTTCTTAAAGCTGAATAATGTTCCATTGTGTGTGTGTGTGTGTGTGTGTGTGTAGAGAGAGAGAGATACAGTAGCGTTTTGTTTATTCATCTGATGATGGACACCTTGGTTGATTCCGTGTTTTAGCAACTGTGAACTGTGCAAGTATGCCATGTTGATTCATAACTTCGTACGTTGCTCATTTCACTGATTGACTGGAATATCTCTTTTATAAATTGTTGATTTATTCAGCCCTTGTGACTTCAACATGTTCTGAAGAAGTGTCTCAAATATTCATTAGGGATTTAATATATATTGTTCAATATTGTTATTTTCCTTACACCTCTGATTTCAACAATTAACATTTAGCTGTGAGAAATGTGAAAACCTCCTATTTTCCCTATCAAGAATATCCCATGAAGTACAAAGGTAAGTATTCTTATTTTGTTTAATTGTTTTTCAAGAAGACTACCAATATACATCAGAGTAATGCACATTTATTTTCATTTATGTCAGTGGAAGAAAGCTGTCATGGTTAGACTTTTAAAAAGCTAAAAATATGAGGCTGGCACCATGGCTCACTAGGCTAATCCTCCACCTTGCGGCGCCAGCACACCGGGTTCTAGTCCCGGTCGGGGTGCCAGATTCTGTCCCGGTTGCCCCTCTTCCAGGCCAGCTCTCTGCTGTGGCCAGGGAGTGAAGTGGAGGATGGCCCAACTCCTTGAGCCCTGCACCCCTTGGGAGACCAGGAGAAGCACCTGGCTCCTGGCTTAGGATCAGTGTGGTGTGCCAGCCACAGCACGCCAGCCGCGGTAGCCATTGGAGGGTGAACCAACGACAAAGGAAGACCTTTCTCTCTCTCTCTCTCTCTCTCTCACTGTCCACTCTGCCTGTCAAAAAAAAAAAAAAAAAGAAAAGAAAAGAAAAGAAAAGAAAAAGCTAAAAATATGAAATTTCCACGTTTGTAATACAAAAAATTCTAGCTGATACATTTTTTATTTTCAATAAAAGCTCCTTTCAGAGGCCGGCGTTTTGGCATAGTAGGCTTCCCATGTGGTGCCAGCGTCCCATATGGGGGCCGGTTCAGATCCCGGATGCCCCTCTTCTGATCCAGCTCTCTGACATGGCCTGGGAAACCAGTGGAAGATGGCCTAAATCCTTGAGTCCCTGCACCCATGTGGGGGACCCAGAAGAAGTTCCAGGATCCTGGTTTTGATTGGTGCCCCTCCAGCTGGTGTGGTCATTTGAGAAGTGAACCAGTGGATGGAAGACCTTTCTCTCTGCTTTTAAATTTACCTCTTAAATAAATAAGTAAAATATTTCAAACAGCTCCTTCCAGTACACAAACAGCAGTGGTTGTGGCTGGTGTGTATCACTACTTAGGTGCCCACTCTTCCAGTTGCTGAGGATGCTGGCAGCTTGGTTCTCAGTTGAGTCTTGGAGGATTGTCAAGAATGCGGCCTTCGCAAGGGCAGGTCCTATTTCAGGGACAGTTGGCATGCATTGACTTTCTGATACAAGATTACGAAACAGCACCCTGAAAAGCGGGAATTGTTATCATACTCATTTCACAGAAAAGGAAATTTGTTAACCTTCTTGAGAACATACAGCTTGTATGTAGAGGACTAGGAGTTGAAGTAAGGTGGTTTGTGCTAGTGTAGTTCCATCCAGCAGAAATATAATGACAGCCGCATGTGTAAATTAAAATTGTCTGGAACCAGACTTCAAAAAGTAGAAAGAAACAAGTGAAATTAATTTTAATGCTATATTTTACTGAACTCAATTTATCCAACAATATTATCATTCCAACAAGCTTTGTAAGAAATTATTCATGAAATATCATATTCTGTTTTTTTTTTATTTTTCACATTAAGTCTTTGAAATTGAGTGCACCATTTACTTATGGCACATCTCAATTTGGACTTGTCACATCTCAAGTGCTCAGTAGCCACCTAGGGCCTCCTATTTAGACGGTATAGCTTTAGAGTTCTAGTTTTAATTCCTATGCAATGGCATAGCCATATCAACATGATGCTAACTATGCATATACTTGTTTTAAAGATTTATCACATGGACATTGAAGCAGCCACCTAACAGATGTTACATAGACAAATCATCGTTTTGCATCTGAATTTGTTTATCCTGTAGATTTATGAGCTAAATCGGTGGGTCATCTTAGAGTTTACTTTTACAACCAGGATTTGAACTTTTTCAGCCTTCTTCTGTCTTTCCAAGGGTTAGCAGAAAGGGAGGTATTTCTTGTATGATCAGAAGAGGAACGCAAATATAGATCCAAGGAAAGGAGGTATTTAATGAATCACTCTGAGGGTGCTTGGCCAAGGAAGGATAAAAGTAGGACAGAGTGAGAGACTCAGATGCAGCTAGGAACGAGTGGTAAATGGAGACTGGTACAGAACTATTTTGCACAATGTTCAGCATTACTGGGCTGCTATATTTACCTACAAACAATACGCTTGGTTGAGTTTTGAGAGCATAGTCTTTTTTTAAGATATTGTTTATTTATTTGAGAGATAGAGTTTTAGACAGAGAGAAGGTGACAGAAAGAAAGGTCTTCCATCCGCTGGTTCACTCCCAAATGGCCACAACAGCTGGAGCTGGACCGATGTGAAGCCAGGAGTCAGGAGTTTCTAATGGATCTCCCATGTAGGTGCAGGGACCCAATCACTTGGGCCATCCTCTACTACTTTCCCAGGCCATAGCAGAGCTGAATCTAAAGTGGAGCAACCGAGACTCGAATGGGTGCCCACATGGAATGTCGACACTGCAGACTGTGGCCTTACCCACTATACCACAGTGCCAGCACCAAATCAGGAGTATAGTCAAAAGACTGAGCTAGGCTGTTTTCTGTATCTTTCGATCTGCTATAATCTGTGGGGTCTTTCATCCACAGAATTCATAGAACAGACATAATATCATGATTATCATTTTGCAGGCCACAGGTCATCAGACAGCATAAACCAACACAAAGTTCCTTTTCTTTGCAAGGGTCTTAATGTATTCACCCAGGGAGCTGATAAAGATTCCAACCACAATCACGAACAAATATTGGAGAAGCTGGAAATTATAAACTCAGTAAACTCATAAAGATATTATAGCTGTTATCCTTGATCTATTATGAACAGCAAATAATGCCAGATCTGTCTTTTCAGTTTCTTTCAAGCAGTTCGTAGATGTTTTCTATACTGCCTTTTATTTCCAGGGAAAGACTCAGCGATATATATTTTATTTTTTATTATTGTTATTTATCTATTCGTTTTGTACCATTCTCCTCACACTTTTGTATATTATGTCTGAAGATCTAGTTAGGATAGGAGAGGTCCTTAGAATTATATAGTATTGGGGCTCGTGCTGTGGTTCAGCTGATTAAATCCCCAGCCTGCAGTGCCAGCATCGCAGGTGGGTGTTGGTTCAAGTTGCAGCTGCTCCATTTCTGATCCAGCTCTCTGCTGGTGTGACTGGGAAAGCAGTGGAGGATGGCCCACTCCCTTGGGTCCTTGCACCAGCATGAGAGACCTGAATGGGTCTCCTGGCTCCTGGCTTCAGCCTGCCCAGCCCTAGTTGTTGCTGCCATTTGGGGAATGAACCAGTAGACA